GGCTTGAAATGCTGATATGCTCACTCTCATAGTCTCCTGCTTAAGGAACAGCTGTAAACAGGCTCCTGGGATGATCATTCTGAATTGAGTTTGTTTTAGGATGGTAGGCACCTGTGCAAGCGCTAAAGATGTGGACGTTTACTGTTGACAGAGGGTGGGAGGGAAGGTCACTCTGGCTTTTGGCCTCAGAAACTCATTTCTCTTTGCTACTGACTTCTCTGAAAAAACTAGGGTAGAAAAACCAGCCAGCCAGCCAGCCAGCCAGCCAGCCAGCCAGCCAACCAACCAACAAACCAAGAGGAAAAAACTACAATCTGTTTTGGCCAGTGAATGGGAAATTCACCTGAGGCACATCCATCAAATGGACCATTGATGAAAAGTGTTGCCATACCACAGTATGAATAGACTTCCACAGCCTCTTGCCAAGTGAAAGAAGTCACATCCAAAAGACCTTGTATGATTTAATTTAAATAATATTCTGGGAAAGGCAAACAAAATATAGGCCTTGGGTTGGGAAGAAGGAACTGACTACCTGGGAGCAAGCACAAGAATATTTGGGTTGACGGGACCATTTCATGTTATGGTTACGGCTTACATGACTATATGCAGAAGTCAAAACCCAGAACTGGGGCCAGGTGTGGTGTGCACACCTTTAATCCCAGCACTCAGGAAGCAGAGACAGGTGGATCTCTGTGAATTCCAGGCCAGCTGCAGCCACATGGTGAGACCCTGTCTTAAAAAAAAAAAAAAACCAAACAAAAACAAAACCAATAACAAAACCCACCTAGAACTGTTTACCCAATAGTGACTTGACTCTTGACTGCGGACAATTAAATATAAGGATAGTATGGCTTTCTTCAGGGTAGTAGTGACTGGAAGTGGAGGGGGGGGCTGAGATTCTGGTTATGTTCTGTGCTTTGAGGTGATACTAGTTTGTTAACTCACTGAAACGTATACACACACACCTAAGCCTTTTATATATCTGTATATGCCATACTTCATAAGTGTAAGGAAGACAATGTAAAAGAGAGTTTCAGCCTGCACTTTTCTCTGGCTCCTTCCCCCAGTTCTTTCCCATTTGTTTAGTACTTACATGACATAAAGATGCTAGGAAGCCCACAATGTGGAACTCTCTGGTCACACTTGGTACCTGTTTCCAAAAACTCTCAGTAATATTAAGCTACCTGACCAATTCTGCTGAATGCCAGTTCAGCAGACAAGGATGTGCTGTTTTGCCAGCTAAATAACTAGATTTAAAGGTAGACTGGAGAGCAAGTGATTCAAAGCCCATGAGAAAGTAATCAATGAGGCAGCAGTGACTTCGGCTTAGTCAGATTGACTTACTAAACAATAAATAGGTGCTTTAAGGAACTATAGTAGGGAGTTATAGTGGGTCATTAGCTCACAGTATCTCTGACCAAAAAATAGGGATTCTGAGAATAGATGAGTGAAAATGGTTATAAGAATGGAAATAATATAATTCAAGTCAGTCAAAGGATCTTTTAAAGGTGATACATAGTGGACTGCATTCTCTCAGACTAGCTACACATAAACACATTTCTGAGTAAAAGATTAAAAACTGAAATGTCAAGGAAGGCATGGCTGGTGTTCCGTAAACATTACTGAATTCCTGGAAGAAGTCTGCAAGGTATTCAGGGTCCATTTCAACTATGGTAAAACTAAGGGTCAGGTTAACCTGTACAAAGAAGGTGGTCACTCCAGTTTTCTGATTTCCAAGGGAAAGAGAATCGCTTTACAGTGTATGTGAAGCAGTTCCCTTTACTTATAGAGGAATGGCATCTCGCTGGTTATACAATCTGTAGGCTGCAGAGTTGCCATTCAAATCTAGCTACAAGCTGTACCTTCACATTACAGCACAGCTGCCGAAGCCAGTGTGATTCTCACTGGAGAGCGCTGGAGGAAAATGTAATCCTTAAAACTGGACCACACTAGATGGTCTCAACTTGAGCCAGAAAAGCAATACCTATGATTTTCTTCCCTCTAGTATTCTTCAAAATGCAAATTCTGCAATGAAATATGATAAACCTTTTGGTATTTACCTCTTTTCAGTAATTCAAATCTCTGAGAATTGGACAACCTACTGCAGACCAGGAACTGGTATGGCAGGAAACCTCTGCTAGGAGCCAGCAGTTAAAGGTTCTAATTTGAGCTGTGCTCCTGATTCAAGGAGTACCTTAGGTTATGGCATGGATCTCTGGGGTTGTTTCACATTCGAAGGAGGACAACCTTATGACATACTTTGCTCTAACAGTTTAGAAAATAAATTTTGATCAGTATTAACCCTCCTTCCCCCAAATCACCATCTTTGGAGTTTAAGTACTATAGTGGTCAGCAGGCATTGGTGCATTTTGCTGGAATGAGATTTGCTTCTCTCATTCATACGGGAGCCTTAGGCATTTACAGATCAAGAGAGCAAACAAATGTGAAGCTGTTCACATTTTAAGTCATATTCAAATATGGATTTAAAAACATATAAACATATGAAGCTGTATGTTACTGAGCAGAATGCATTTAAAAATTGGTTTTATTTCATGTATGCATTTTGCCTTCATGTGAATGCACCATGTGCCATGCCCACAGAGCCCAGAAGAGGGCGGTGAGGTGGTGAATTCCCCAAAACTGCAGTTACAAATGGTTGTTATCTGCCTGCCATGTGGGTACTGAACCTGTGTCCTCTGCCAAGAGCAGTCAATGCCATCTTTCCAGCCCTAAATGCAATAAAAAAAAAAGTGCTCCAATTCTGGTTCTAAAGGTCTTCATAAGCCACGGTGACAGTGCTAGGTTTACTTGTTTCTCAGTCTTTTCAGTTGTGATGAGAGCAACTTACTCTATAGCTAAAAAGTTGAGGCAGCATAGTATACTGGAAAAAATAGACTTAAGAGTAGATCAACCTGGCTCAGACCTCCAGCTCCAGCACTCAGCAGCTGAGTCACAGTGGGCAGGTGATTTCACTTAGGCCTTATGGCCTCCTCTTTTGAGCAATTCTTATACTAACATGATTACTGCAATTAGTAATTTCATTACTGATAAAACAATCTAGGATACATGAAAATATTTTCTTTTAAAAAAAAAATCACCAAGGCTGGAGATGGGTCAGCAGTTAAAAACACTGGCTGCTCTTGCAGAGGACCTGGGTTGGGTTCCTAGCACCCATATGGCAGCTAACAACTGTCCTTAACTCCAATTCCAGGGGATCTGACACCCTCTTATCTCTGCAGGACCTGCACAACATGAGTACACCTAATGTACAAGCAGGTAATACACTCATACACATAAAATAAAATATTAAAATATTTAAAATCATTTGAAGAGGCTGGAGAGATGGCTGAGTAGTTAGCACTGGCTGCTTTTGCAAAGGCTGGGGTTTGGTTCCCAGCACTCACATAGCAGCTAACAACTGTCCTTAATTCCAATTTCTGGGATTTGATGCCCTCTTCTGGGTTCTGTGGGCACTGTATACACACGGTGTATTTCCATACATGCAGGTAAAACAGTCATACATATTTAAAAGGCTTTAAGACCCGCTCGATGGGAGGGAACTCATGTGGTACTATAAACATAGCCAAATATACATGGCCAGAGAAGTCACAGGCCCTAGGAAAAAAAACTGTCTGTCATATCCCTAGACAAATATAATTTCTCACTATAGGCTAAATATGTATCTTTGTACTTGACAGGTGTATCTCTCACAGTCATCAAAGAAGCTTCCCTGCAACAGATGGAGACTATCACAGAGTTCCACAACTGGTCAAATGTAGAGAACAAGCGTCTGTAGAGTGACACACCTACAATGGAACCTCTACACCTAAGGCTCAGGGAACATGGCAGAACAGGGGGCAGAGAGAATACTGTCGCACCTCTCAACTCTTACCAGCAAAGTTTCCTCATGCAAAGGATATTAACTCAGAAAGCAACAACTGGCCAAAATGTAGAGAATAAGAGGCTGCAGTGTATGTGTGTCTGGACAGGACTCCTACATTAAACCTCTGCCACCCAGGACTCTGAGACCATTGTGGAAGAGGGGGTGGAAAGACTGTAAGAGCCAGGGGTGGTGGATGACCACAAGGAAACAGAATTTTCCAGGTGACTAGGAACTTGTTTATATGAACTTACAGCAATGGTGTTAGCATGCACAAGTCCCATGTAAACTCAGTCCAGACAAAAAGCCAGCACAGAGGTGGGGAAATGGGTAGAAGACTCAATCTTAACTGAGGAATTATTGGCAACTGATCATCTGTGGGTGAGGGAGAGTTGGTCCTCTTTAAGGGAGTGGTGCTAGACAGGTTGACCAGGCTCCAGAATACATGAAAACTGACACTTGAGGGTGGGGAGGGGCTGTGAGGGGAATGCAGAGAGGGGAGGGGGTCTAAATATGATCAAGATGTAATGTATGATATGGACAAAAATTCAATAACAAATAAAAAAAAATCACTTTGAAGGGGCTGGAAAGTTGGCTAAGTAGTCAGCACTGGCTGCTTTTGCAGAGGACTGGGGGTTTGGTTCCCAACACACATGGTGGCTAACAACTGTTTGTAACTCTAGTGTTTGGGAATCTGACACCCTCTCTGGACTCTGTGGGCACTGCATGCATGTGGTGTATTTACATACACTCAGGGAATACACTCATATATATTAAAAAAAATCACTTGAAGACATCTAGGAAGCAATGCAAAACAAATTTTACCACAATATTCTTTTATAATTTCTTGGTATTTTGCAGTATGTGACTACTTAAATACTTCAAAATGGCTTAAGCTGGGATTTTGCTGTGAGGGGATTTTTGGAGCTCTTGACATTCTACATTTTTCTTCCATCATGTTTATGTTTGGCAACAGTCTATTACATTTAGTGTAAGAACTGTAACATACTGCCTCATGGCTTTAGATTCAGGTTATATTATGTAATACCTCAAATCATTCCAAGAAAATGTCAGCTTGATTTTATTTTAAACTTCCAAAATTCAAGACACATTTAACATATGGATTTTACAATAAAGTTTATTGGTTGTTCTCCTCTTTCTCATAAATGGAATGGATAATGTTGATAATCTTTACAAACCAGTACTCATTTAAGAAATTTTAACGAGGTTGTCGAAAACCACATATTGAATAAACAACTCCAAAGAGCAAAGGGAAGCCAAATGATATTAATAAAAAGGACTAGAGAAATTGACTTCTGAAAGCATTTTTGCTTTCCACTAAAACTTCTTAAAATTGTTCTCCATAAAGATCTGTATAATTCTAGTACAGAGCAGCTACGCAAGATGAAGTGTGTGAGGGGAAAAGTCACAGAAATGGGAGTTGTCTGTTTTTTTCTATTAATGAGAACTAGAAGGAAAGGCAGAGGATCAAAATTAAACCTCATGACGAGAACAATGACAAAGCTCCAGGAACCTTCTGGAGCGTCTGTAGAGAGAGGAGAACAAAGCTCAGATTTTCACTTGCAATCCAATTTCCTTAGTGGTTTCTCCTCAAGACCACTTGTACACTTGTTTTCAGTTCACATGATTAAGGAAGATAAGTCTCATCAATTAATATTTAATTTAAAAACCAAACAAAAAGTTAGGAGTAGGTGGCAAAAGAAAAAATATATTTTAAATATATATATGTGCGCAACTATGTAAAGAAAATAATTCCCATAGTTACAGAGCTTAGTTAAAGATATATTTATATATATTTTATTATAACAAAATAGGCAGTTATTGTGGGTAAAATAGTCATTAAAATCTGACCCCTCCCTAAGCATACATTTGAAATTTTCAGCTTTGAACTGGATTCCTTTTCTACTGCCTGATGACTTACCACATCTCCACCAAAGCATCTTTTCTGTCTGCAGTTATGTTTGAAATGTTCTCACCTTTGGTTAAAAGGTGAGCTCCCCTAGCACCTAAACATGGCCTTATGTCAGAAACTGTATGAACAACTTTTGAAAGACACTACAGTAATGCACAAGCAGATTCAAACCACTTGAACACTGTTACTCCTAGCAAAGCACTGGGTGAGGGTTCAAACAATGAAGACCTCTTACAAAAAACAATTATCCCTCGTGAAATTATGAGTTAACTCAGACATTAATTCTGAAATAAAAAACCCGCATTTTTCTTATTTGTCTGTAACAAAACATCTGCTTTAATAACGGCAGTCAATCAAGAAAAGAACTTGAGAGCTAATACATTGATTGGCCAAACCATGCTATCAAAGTTAAACGTGCATAGTTGCTCAAAGTCAATTAAATCACTGATTAAAACCATCTTCTTTCATATTTATTGAAATCTGAAAATAATGTATATAAAGCTTTTCTGAAATTCTCTTAAAGTTAACTTTCCCTTAAACATTAAGGAATTTTACAATTTTGCATCTCCCCAAAGCCTTAACAGCTGGTCAGGCCATCTACCTTCAGTTCTGAAAAATGGTCACAAACCAGTAGCAACACAGAATACAGATGATACTCAATGAAGGAGACGCTACATGTCAAAAATGAGCACAACTGCCGACCCTGATGAGGGGATCTGATTCAACAAGAAAGAAGTACTGTGGGTGGACTCAGGAGGAAGGGCAAAGAAATGGCAAAGAAACGAGTGTGGAAAAGAGAAATAGAGCAACATCAGTCTTCATAATTTTTCTTTGGCTGGGACCCAGATGTAAGGACCAGCCTGTTCTTCTATGATCTGCTTCACTTGGTTGTAAATGTCCTCCAGAGTATCTCCCTGTACAATGGCTGTAATGACACAAAGTCAGAAACATCCATCAATATTATTGGTGAAACAGAAGACACTGAATCCTAAAAGCAGCTATATGTAATTTATGCATTGCCTGCTCAGCAACAACTGGTCATTTAAATACTTTTTTTTTTTTTTTTTTTTTTACTACTTGTACAACACACAAAAGTTGACTGAAAATCAGATAGGGTCATTTTTTCTATTGCTTATTGTTTGATTTGTAGACCACCTGAGCATGTATTGGCCTCATCCACCCATTCATCTGGTAGTTCTGAGGACTGAACCGAGGGCCTTGTACAGGCTAACCAAGCACTCTACTCTTGGTTATACTCCCAGTCATTAGCTTTATTCTCTTAAATTATGTATTTCCTTAACTTTCCAGATTTCCCCACCAAAATACAGGGGAATACAACAACAACAACAGCAACAGCACCAGCAGCAGCACCAGCAGCAGCATGGGAACTACAGAGAGCAAGCACAACTTTTTTTGCCCCCCTTTTTTAAAAAATTTTATTTTATTTGCTGTATTTGTGTGTGGTAGGTGGGGGGATCTTAAGGAAAGATAGCTCACTTTGGATTATTACATTTTGCCCAAGTAAAAAACACATCAGGTACTGGAGTGTAGGTGAACTGAGATACATAATCTGGCTTGTTAGTGGTTAGAGACTATTATTAAGATCGACGTTAAGTAATTTATTTGCTGCCTGAAATAATGTGTGAATAAAAAAATGTTAACAGAGTCCTATGTCATGGTGCACGTCTCCCAGGATTTGAGAGGCAGGAGGATTGTAAATTCCAGGTCAGCCTGGGCTACACATTGAGATCCTGTCTCAAACAATAACAAAAGCAACAACTATTTGGGACACTTGGAGCACTAAGGTCTGTGAGGAATATTAGCTAGCACCAAGCCAGGTGAGGTGACTCATACCTACTAATCTCAGCACCCAGGAAGCTAAAGCAGGAGGTTCATGAATTCAAAGCCAGCCTGGGCTACACAGTGAGAATGCACTGGTAGAAATTAAAAAACAAACAAACAAACAAACAAAAACCCCCAAATATTCAGATTCCCATGATCTGGAAATCCTAGAATAAAATACCAGATGGAGATGTTAAGTACTTGTCTGGCTGATGAATGAGATGAAGTATGCCATAAAGAAAGTCTATGTACTTATGATGTAGCTAAGAATGCATGAGAAATAAAAAAGTTTAAGTTACATAATATTCACTAGTATCAGTTTTGTGAGATTTCACATCTTGAGCTAAATACAGACATTCCTCAATGTCTGCACCGACAGAGACCATCTGACAAATGCCAGTTTGGTACCAGACTCACTCCAAGATTACAGTATTTCACACTGCAGGCTAACAGCAAACAATGAACAGATTCTGGGGAAGAAAGGAGTTACTAACTTATTGGAAACAGATGTTTTACTTACATAAATTAAGGGAATGGTTAGTAAATCAGGATTCTCCTCTGGATGGAAGTGTAAAAGACCAAGGCCACACAGACACCTTAGCCACATTATTAAAATCAACAGTTTTCTGATGATTTTAGTTTCAGTAACAGTGTAAAGGATATAAGGAAATATCCTTATTTTTCTGGGAAATACACACTGACATATTTATAAGTACAGGGCATCTATTGGTGACATTGTCAAATATTTCAGAAAAAAATTATGAGGTATAATGTTAACTTTTAGAAAATATGGGTGAAGGGCAGGCATGAGCCTTTCCTATGCTATTCTTATGATTTATCTAAAACCATTAAAAAAATCAGAAAAAAATCAACCCCCAGTACATATTTATGATATTACAACACTTACTGATACTTCTGTGAACCAAATATAAGCTGATCATTATTATAAAAAAAGTGAGGTGAGGTGGTGTGTGGCTACAGTCCCAGCTACGTAAGTAGGCAGAACGATCACTCCAATTGAGGAGTTCAGGGTAGTTTGAGCAACAGAACTAGACCCTGTCTCTTCTGACTTAACCTAGCCCAATTCTGTTATTATAGGAATGAGTTAACTGTTACAAGAATAGGTTTGTTGTAAGCTCAGGCTGTCCTGTCCTCTTGTCTCGTGTGCCTGCTTGTCCTTCTCTCATATTCTGTTCCAGCAAGGCACTCACAGGCTTCAGCCCTTTGACCTTGGGATTCCCAGCCTTCCTAATTCTGAGGTAAAAAATCCTTGCTTATAATTTACCCAGTCTGTGGTACTGTTACAGAAGAGAAGACACACAAACCAATAACCTCACTTCTGAGTAAAGATCAGAAAGAAATGAAACCAGTATGTCAAGGAGACACCTTCAATTCTTTGTTAACTGCATTATTCACCATAGCCAAGACATGGGAATATTACTTAGCCATAAAAACAAGAAACCTTGCCATTTTTTACATGAATCTGGAAGACATTAAGGCAAATGAAATAAGCCAGTCAGAAAAATAAATACTAGATGATCTCACTTACATGTGGAATTTAAGTTGAACTTATAGAGGCAGGGAGTACAATGATGGCTCCCAGAGTCTGGGAGGTAGAATAAGGAAATGATGGTCAAAGTGCACACACTAAGGGGGAGTAAGGCTGCAGCTGCAACTTGGTAGTAGAGTGCTTGCCTAGAATGTGCAACGGCTCTGGTACTGGCAAAAACATACTCAAAAACTAAAACCAAAAAAGACAGTTTCTGAGGATCTAATGTATAGCATGATGATATTAACAGAAAGTGGATTTCAAGGGACCTTACTCTCTCTCTCTCTCTCTCTCTCTCTCTCTCTCTCATTCACACACACACACACACACACACCAGTAACTATGTGTGGTGACAGATTAAGTCAATACAATTGCAGTAATCAATTCATGGTGTATTATCATATTACACTGTACACCTTGAATGCATATAAAATTTGTTGATCCTATCTCATTAAGGATGGGAAGAATGGATCAAAACTTATAAAGGGTAAGAAAAAAAGATTTCAAAGAAGCAGTCAAATCAAATCATTCTTCTCTGCTCTAACATGAATTATTTCTGTGCACACAACTTTAAGAACTCTAAACTTTAAGATTCCCCTTTCCCATAGTCTAGGCTAAATGAATTTCCTATGGGAAAAACCCACAGCTCTTAGGTGTTTATTCTGAATAGAATAGTATCTAACAGTACTAGTCAGTACTAGTTAGTACTGTTAGATATGTATACAGAAAAATTCTAACATAAAGAGAACTGTCACACATGGTTCCAACCTGTGAAATGTTCAGTAAATTCTTGTTCCAATTTCATGGCTCTCTCAAATGTTTTTCTGGCTTGTTCTTCTGTTAGACGCTTATTCATTTCCCTATGCAAATAAATTTGGAAATTGGTAATTACCATACTGTAATCCTTTTTGAAAAAAGATAGACACATAAGGCACAAATAATGAAAAGTTGAACTCTGCTGAAAATATGAGGGTCATCAACAACAGATTCAGTCACTCCACTGCTGCTTTACACTTGGAAGACAAAGCGTTTCAACACATTCTGCACTAGCTCAAAGCAGCCACAAAAACCTAAGCATTCACCTCAGACAGTTTCAACTTTGATGAAGATTTCATATTAAAAGGTGACTTATAGCTCTCCATACCAATTTATAGAAGATACGTGAACACATTAAATACATGAGAAGGCAACTGGAAAATATGTCTTGGAAAAACCATGACTTGCCCTAGTTTCTCCACAATTAATTGGAGTGGAATGAGGGAGACCACAAGGAGGAGGACTACAGATGAAAGTTGTATCATTTGTCATGAATATACAGTATTGAGAAGTTGATTATGGGAAAAAATTGCAAACATAAAACATGAAATAAAGAGGAACTGACTATTTGATATTAAAGAATTACTGTCAGCTATTTTTTTAATTTTTATTCTTTTGGTCTTTTTGAGACAGGGTCTCCCTGCAACCCCAGCTGGCCTGGAACTCATTATGTAGACCAGGCTGGCCTTGAACTCACAGAGATCTGCCTGCCTCTGCCTCCCAAGTGCTGGGACAAAGGTATGCGCCATCATACTTGGCTATTGTCAGTTATTTTAAGTACCACAATCACAGTGGTGATGCTTTTAAATAAGCAATAATTTCAAATATATGGAAGAAATGATACATCTGATATTTATTCCAAAATAATCTGGGGGGAAGGAATGAGGACAGAGTAAGACTGACTGTTAGGCTGCCAAGTTTTCTTGCAGCTGGATGTTAGGTACGTGTGGAATTTGTTCCCAACTAGTCAGGAAAGGCTTTTGGTATTTCACCACTGAGTATGACATTCTGTATGGTTACTGTCTAGTATCTTCCAATCTACAGTATTCCCTGAACATTTTTTGTAGGATAGTTCTAGTGGTAATGAACTTTGCTTTTGTTTATCTGAGAATATTTTGATTTCTCCCTCACTAAAAAATTGTGTGTGTGCATACCTGCCATGACATGCGTGTCAAGGTCAGAGGGCAACTTTGTGGAGCTGGTTCTCTCATTCCACATTCTTGTGGGTTCTAGGATCAAATGCAGGTCATCAGGCTTGCACAGCAAGTTCCTTTATATGCTGAGCCATCTCACTAGTCCCTTTCCCTTTGGAGGACAGTATTGGGGGTACAGGATTTTTGCCGACAGATTTTCTTTGGTGTTTTTAATGTACCAACTCACTGCCTTTTGACCTTCCAAGTTTCTGATGAGAATTCTGCTGATAATCTTACTGGGAAATCTCTTATAAATGATGAGTTCTCTTGCTTCTTAACATTCTCTTCCAATAGTTATAATGTATAAATAGATTATAATTGGCATTAGCTAGGGTCTTTCAGTTTATTATGTATGGAGTTTACTAAACATCGTGAATATTCATTCCTGGCTTTCATTTGCCTTTTGGAACTCACACATAATGTATGTTGGTATAACTGAAGGTTTCTCACAGTTATTTTGGCTGTTAACTTTTGTTTAGTGTTTTTCTTTCTGCTCCTATTTTCACTGTCCATCTTTAAAAGACTCTTCTGTCTCTTTAAATTTGCCTTTGAATTTCTTTTGTGGATTCATTTCAGGCATTACTGTTCAAGTTCTAGGACTTAAAAAATATTTTTTCTTATGTGTGTATGTGTTTGTCTGTGTGTATGTGCACTTGAGTGCAATGCCTGTGAAGGCCAGAGGAAGGAGTTGGATTCCCCTGGAGCTGGAGTTAGAGGCTGTTGTGAGCTGCCTGATGTGAATTCTGGGAACTGATTCAGGGTCGTCTGCAAGAGACCTCTTAACTGCTGAGCCATCTCTCTAGCCCTCCAGAACTTCTTTGTAAGTTTTCTTTTTATTATTTCCAACTTGCTCACATTTAATTTTCTTGACTCTGTCCTTGTCTTTCATTTTTTAAGCATCTTTAAGAGGGTTAAATATACATATTTATATGTATTTATATATATATGTATTAATATATATCATATAACCCAAAAGCAGAAGGGATGCTATTTTCAGGGAGGACGGGGTAGACAACAGACGTTAACAGGGTGAATATGAGCACTGTACTATGATATATGTATGAAAATGTCATATGAAAATCTATTAGTTTATACTTAAAAATAATGAATAAAAGTGCAGTTGTTTCAGTCTTTAGTGAGTCTGACATCTGGTTTATCTCAAAGAATTTATTTTTTTTCTCCTTTAAATGGGCCATTCTTTGCTATTTCTTTGTATACTTTTTGTTGTTGAAAACTGGACATTTGAATCTTATGATGTAGTAACTTTAAAGACCAATGATGTAGTAACTTTAAAGACCAATTTTTTTCTTAGGGTTTGCTGTTTTATTTGAAATTTAGTTTCTTATTGTTGTAGAGTATTTATGTGCTGAAGATCAGCCTGAGGTATAAATTTAAGATTTTCTCAGTAATTCTTCAGACTGTGCCTTTCCATGGTCATGTATAATAACTCACTAAATTCTACTCCTATATGTGGTTCTTTTTGAATGTCCTGGGCTAGCTACAAAAAGAAGAAAAAGATAAAATGAGGTGGGGACTGGAGAAAGGTACTGATCATAGGTTTCTATGGAAAGTACTCCATACTCTGGGAGAGGGCTTACTGTATCCTAAGTCAGAAACAGCAACCAGCTAGCACAGTACAGATTCCTAAAACATGGAAGACAGAGTCTTCATTATTTACTTTGGATCCTACAAACTGTATGCAAACTGCTGTAGAAATGTGTGCATGGCTGCCTGCTTATGGTGCTGAGAATAGGGGAAGAGGAGCTGTTAACCACACAGAGCTAAAATTAACCTTTTAAACTTTCTCCAGGAAGCTGTAAAGCCTCAAAAGACTTCAAAGTTCCAAGCAAGGTACATTAGACAGATGTTGCCAGTATTGTGTAGGTGGGAGATGGATGCCTGGTATAATTTGTTATCTGGAGATCTTCCATGAGTACTTTCTCTGCCATCTCCCCTCTAGTCCCACCATTTCTTTTTCTATGGCTTTGTACATGCTGGACATGAAGCAACACCTGATCATTTGATTAATTTTTGAATATTAAATCAGGCTTACACTCTAGAATAAACACTAGTTGGCAATTAAGCTTATTTGAAAATAATTACTAGATTCAGTGTGCTCATATTTTGGTAGCAATTTTGCATCTGTATTGATGAGCACAATGGTTCATCATGATCCTTTCCTGTTAAGTTGCTACTGCCTTACTACTAAATTAATGCTCATAAATTGGATGAAGAATTTATGTAAGATTTGTATTCTTGGGGGCTGGAGAGATGGCTCAGCGGTTAAGAACACTGACTGTTCTTGCAGAAGACCCGGGTTCGAATCCCAGCACCCAAATGGCAGCCAACAACTGTCCATAACTCCAGTTCCAGGGGATCCAACAGCCTCTTCTGTCTTCCCTGGGCATTGCACAACACAGGTGCACTTAGCTACATGCAGGCATAACACTCATACACATAAAATAAAAATAATATAAAAAAAAGAATTAGGCTTTTCATTTGTTTAAAAAAAAAAGATTTGTATTCTCAGTTTCTCATTGAATCGATTAAGTCCTCTTGGCTTAGTTTTTTATTTGTAGGAGGGCTTTTTGTGACAGATTCAAGTTCTTTATCAAGTGTAAGACTACTTAAAATTTTTCTTTTTGTCCTTTTCTCATTCCTGGCATTTTAAAGGTATAACTTTAAACATGTAAGGGCAGTATTAAAAATTTAAGTTGGTCTTCTACTTGTGGCAATTTTTCTGCCCCAAACTCCCAAGTCCTGAGATTATAGGTTGTATATCACCATGTCCTACTTGACACCTGATTTCACTTATTATAGCATTTACAGGCTGTGTAATGTTCCTTCAAAGATATAACATTTTCCAAGTTTGTCAGTTTCACTACTATTTAGTTCAAACATTTTTTATTTTATTAAAATTTTTTTTTGTCTTTTTGAAGCAGGGTCTCCCTGTAGCCCCAGCTGTCCTGGAACTATGTAGACCAGGCTGGCCTTGAACTCACAGAGATCCGCCTGCCTCTGCCTCCTGAGTGCTGGGATTAAAGGTGTGCGCCATCACGCCTGGCTTATTTTATTATTTTTAATGTGTATGAGTGTATTGCCTGTATGTAGGTAAGTGCACCCGTGTTGTACAATGCTCACGGAGGACAGAAGAGGCTGTCGGATCCCCTGGAACTGGAATTACAAAGAGTTGTTAGCTGCCATGTGGGTGCTGGGATTTGAACCCGGGTCTTCTGCAAGAACAACCAGTATTCTTAGCCGCTGAGCCATCTCTCCAGCCCCTCAAACATTAATTTTTAAAAAACATTTATTATTTTTATTTTATGTGTATAAGTGTATTGCCTGCATGTATGTGAGTACACCAGTATCAAGCAATGCCTCAGAGGTCAGAAGAGGTCATTGGATTCCTCTGGAACTGGAGTTAAGTACGGTTCATTGCAGCCATGTGGGTGCTGGGAATCAAACCCAGGTCCTCTGCAAGAGCAGTCAGTGCTCTTAACTGCTGAGACATCTCTCCAGCCCCAAACATTTATTAATTTATACCATGATTCCTTCTTTGACTTACTCAGAAGTATAATGCTTAGTTTCTAAACATACAGTTACTTGAGTCATATTTTTATGATTCATTTCCAGTTTAATCTTGTTGGGATCAGAAGATATCTGTTTCCAATCAAATGAAATCTGTGTCCCATGAAATAGTTCAGTAACTGTTTCAAGTATATGAAATCAATGTGTATTCTGCAGATGTTGGGTATATTATTTAATGAATACCAGTGTCAAGTACAGTGTTTAATATATGAGCTATTTAGGCTCATTGATAATGCCTATTTACCTATTGTTTCTATTTGCTCTTTTTTTTTTCTTTTAAATTTTATGTAATTCTACTTAAAAAAATTTTAGTGTGTGTGTGTGTTTCCTGCCATGGCATGTGTGTGGAGGTTAGGGGGCAACTTGCAGGAGTCAGTTGTCTCCTTCCACTACATGGATCCTGGGGTCTGAACTGAGGTCATTAGGCTTGGTGGCAAGTGCTTTTACTTACTGGGCCATCTCTTAGGTCCAGATTCTATTTTTTTGTCCTGTTAGGTAGCTACACATTCTTTTAGCCCTCTAATGGTTATCTTAGAGCCACACTGCCCAATTTAGTAGCTATTTGTAAAATTTTTAATATGTATTACCTTATCCTTTAGCAACATTAATGATGACGATGATGACAGTGATGGTTAGTATCACACAGTGCTTATTTAATCTTCACAAACACACTCTACGATGGGTATAAATTTTACAAATAGATGAACTGAGATGGATGAGGGATAAATGACTCAAGAACAATTGATTTGTACTTAAAGCAGATACCCTAGGCATTTACACTTACATGATATTTTCCATTGATTTGGGTTTAATAAAAATAGATATTGGGTAAAGTTGTGCAATCTGTAATCTCTTTATGGCATTTCCGGACACATCAAGGATACAATGTTTGCCCTAAAATAGAGACAATAAAGAAGAAAAATAAGTAAATTAAGTCTTTTTCATTATACTAAAGGCATATTTCCTACAGGTTATAATCTGAATTATGATATATTTGGATCCTTGTTTACATTAAGCAAGCTTGTCATTTGTTAGCAAATTTTAGAAAGGAAATTAAACGAAGACAATGATTATGAATCATTACTCTGATAGTCTCAAAGGCATTTATAAATGGAATTAAAATATAGTTCCCATATTCCTGGCTTTTACAGTTAATAATTTCTCAGTGTGGCTAGAGAGACAGTCCACAGTCAAGAGTGTGTACTGCTCTTGCAGAGGATCCAAATGTGATTCCCAGTAACCACATTGGGCAGCTTACAACTTTCTGTAACTCCAGCTCCAAGGGGTCTGATACCCTCTTCTGGCCTCCATGGGTACCTACTCTGTACATACCTACACATGGACAGACACATATATACATAATTAAAATATGAAAAAAAATCTTAAAAATAATTTCTTAAAATGGTGATGAATATAGGGGTACTATATTTTATTTTGTCTAGAAAGGACATTAAGAAGATCCCAAACATCTTCCCATAGCTAAAAGAGGGCACTGGATTCTCTAGAGGTGGAGTTACAGGCTGTTGTGAGTTGTCCAAAGTGGGTGCTGGAAACTGAACTCAAGTCCTCTGCAAGAGCAGTAAGTGCTCTTTACTGAGCAATCTCTCCAGCTTCTCACTACCATTATTCTATGGCTTCCATTCCTAATTTTATTACCGACTAGATAATAGTCTTTTTGAGACAGATCTCCCCGTAGCTCCAGTTGGCCTGGAACTCACTATGTTGACCAGGCTGGCCTTGAACTCACAGAGATCTCTGCTTGCCTCTGTCTCTTGAGTGCTGGGACTAAAGGCACGTGTTACCAGGCCTGGCAAGACTAGACAATACTTTATCATAAAATGCCATTTGGAAAACCCAATTCTGGATTTAAATAACTTTTCTGACAAATTAACTGACACTCATTTAGGTTTTTAGTATAGATGTGCATTTCATGCCACATACGGAAGTATGTAATAAAAATAAAATTTTATTGTAACACTTTAAATTGGGTCCTCACTCTCACAAAGCACCTTGGAATCTAAGTTTATGTCAGTAAATGATAAATTCAACTTAATAGGCATATTTACAATAAAATTAATATCCTAATACACTCCAAACATACAGAAAATTAAATAATGTACCCATAGTATTTTTTTAAACATTACAATTTTTTTTTTTTTTGTCTTTTTGAAGCAGGGTCTCCCTGTAGCCACAGCTGTCCTGGAACTCACTATGTAGACCAGGCTGGCCTTGAACTCACAGTGATCCACCTGCCTCTGCCTCCCAAGTGCTGGGACTACAGGTGTGTGCCACCATGCCCGGCTCATTATAATCTTAAAATTTATTTTTGTGTGCACGTGTGTGATGTCAGATGTCTTCCTTGACCACTTTCCACCTTAATTTTAGAGACAGGGCTTCTCACTGAACCTGGAACTTGTTGACTGGCTAGATTAGCTGGTCAGTGATTCCCTGGGATCTTCCTGTCTCTGCCTCCCAGTGCTGGGAATAAAGGTACACACTAACATGCCCAGCTTTTTATGTGGATTCTGGGGATCTACAATCAGGTATTCACGCTTGTGTGGCAAACACTTTACTGACCGAGCCAACTCTCTACCCCCACATGTTAGTATTTTACACAACTGCTTAGTAATTCATGACATGTAATGAATTAAAGGATGAGTTTAATGGACTATTTAGAAGTAGGCCTGGCTGGAAGAAGCAGATCACTGAAGGAATGCCTCTGAAGGGGGAAACTGGCCCTGGGTATTTCTACTCTCTCTCTTTCTGGCTGCTATAAGGTGAGTAGTTTTCATAAGACATACACTTTCATGCAGATGTTCTGCCTTGTTGCAACATGGGCTGGAAGTAATAGTCAAGTGACCATGGGCAGACAACTCTGAAACCATGAGCCGAAATAAATCCTTCCTCTCTTAAGTTGTTTCTTTCACACTGACAAAAAACTGTTTGCTTTACTTAAAAAAAATTATTTATTTATTTATTTACTTACTTATTTACATATGTACACACTAGTTTTGGTATAAATTTCCAAAGTAACATTCCTTTAGTTTGAATTTCCTATAGATGGTGGCATCTATTAAATAATCACAGTATAATTCTAGTTGGTCATCTAATGTTCCTTACTGGACATGAACTAAAAAGTTCCTGGTCCAAATTCTGGTCTAGGATACATAATGTATTTACCTGTAATGCTTCCTGAGTCACCATCAGTTGGACATAGTTTCTCAGTCTGTCTTTCTAGACCTTGGCATTTTTATTTAATTAATTTACTATTTTTTTATGTGGTATATGCACTGTTCTAGTTTGCTTCTCCATTGCTGTGACAAAACACTATGACCAATACCAACTTGGGGAGGAAAGGGTTTATTCAGCTTAGATCTCCTGGGTCACAGTTCATCACAGAAGGAGCCCAAGGTAGGAACTCAGGACAGGAACCTGGAGGCAGGAGCACTGGCCATTGAGAAAGGCTGCTTACTGGCTTGTTCCTCTGGCCCCTGCCCAACCTGCTTTCTTATACAACACAAGCCTACCTGCCCAAGGGTGGCATCACCCACAGTGGGCTGGGCCCTCTCACATCACTCAATAATCAAGAAGGTGCCCCACTGACATGGCCACAGGCCAGTCCAATGGAGGAAATTCCCCAATTGAGGCTCCCTCTACCCAGGTGTGTCAAGTCGATAACCAAAGCTATCAGCACATGCACATAAAGAGAGGTGTGTTTGTCTATGCATGTGAGTGTGGAGGACAGAGGTTCAAAAAGGGTGTTTTCCTTGATCACTCTCTACTTCAATGACATTTTTTTTTGATTTTTTAATTGTGTGTGTGTGTGTGTGTGTGTGTGTGTGTGTGCGCGCGCGTGTGCGTGCGCACTGAATAGCTCTTGACATACCTGGGTTGAGGGAGCCTCAATTGGAGAACTGCCTTCATTGGACTAGCCTGTGGCCATGTCAGTGGGTACCTTCTTGATTACTGAGTGATGTGGGAGGGCCCAGCCCACTATGGGTGGTGCCACCTCTGGGCAGGTGGGCCTGTGTTGCATAAGAAAGCAGGCTGAGTAGGGGCCAGGGGAGGAAGCCAGTAAGCAGCGTTCCTCCATGGCCTGTGCTCCAGCTCCTGCCTCCAGGTTCTTGCCCTGAGTTCCTACCTTGGGCTCCCTGATGAACTGTGACCCGGGAGATGTAGGCTAAATAAACCCTTTTCTCCCCAAGTTGGTAGTGGTCAGAGTGTTTGTGTGTCCCAGCAATGGAGAAACAAGCTAGGACACAAATTGGTACCAAGAGTGGGGTGTTGGCTGTGAAGAATCTGACCGTGTGGGGTTTTGAAGAAATGTGGAAGACTTTGGAAATTTGGGCTAGAAAAGTGGTTGATTGCTGTAAGCAGAGCTTAACAGGCCATTCTAGTAGGGGCCTGGAAGAAAGTAGTGCTGAGAACAATGTAGTTCCAGAGGGAAATAAAGACTTAAGCAGCAATTGGGATATTTTAGCAAAGAGTCTGGCTGGAGTCTGCCCACAGCCTGAGGCTAAGTTGAAAAGTAATGGACTAATTTCTCTGTTGGAAGAAATTTAAAGACAGCCTAATGTAGAAATGGTGGTGTGGATATTAATGAATATTATGCAGATCTACAGTGAAAGAGAACAAATGGGGCAGAAAGAAACAGAGTTTGGATTGAAAAAGAGCACTAGGAAGCCTTGGCATGTGTTGGAGAGGATCCCATTGATAAGGAGATTAAAGTGATTGAGGAGGGGCCTAGAGATTCAAACTTAAACAATGGAGAGAGTGCCTCCAGGGCAAGACCACACCCAGTTAAACCTCCAACTTGTGAAAGGAAAATGCTGCAGGGGCCACTGAAGAGAAAAGCTTCTAAAATGGATGAACCAGGCTGGAGTCCATCCCAAACTTGCAGTCAAACTTGGCAGTGTCGCTCACCTGGTGCTGGCTTTAGAGGCATGAAAGATACAAGAGTGAAGGGGTCATCAGTTCTTCCTCCGTGGTTTCAGGGAGCCTCTGAGGCCAGGCAGTATGCAGCAGGGGTTCCCCTGCCTAGAGAAGGCCCTGATAGGCCATTGCGTGAAGCTGTGAAAGTGAAGCTTGTTGGCAATGGAGACCCTAAGAAGATGTTCACGATGGCAGAGCTGTGAGGCATCTGCCAAGACGACCTGCACGCAGGGAGTGGAACCAGCACAAGAGAGAGATGTGTGTTGCACACAGCAAAGCTAGAGAGGCTGAGCCATCTAAGCCCTTTGGTAGTAAAGTCCCAGAAGTCAAACATGGAGCTCTGGATTTGGTGTTTGCCCTGCTGGTTTTCAGTCTTGTTTTGGTCCAGTATTTCCTTACTATGCCTCCATTCCCCCCTTTTGGAATGGTAATGTGTATTCAGTTCCACTGTATGCCAGGAGTATGTAATTTGTCTTTTGATTTTATAGAGGCTTACAGTTAAGATATTTATCTGAGTCTTAGAAGAGACTGTGGACTTTTGAATAGTATTGAAACTGATAATGGCTACGGGGACTTTTAAAGTTGGACTAAATGTACCTGGCATTTTATATGGTCATGAGCCTATGGGGGCCAGGGGGTGGAATGTAGTAGATTGAATGAAAATGTACCCCATAGGCTCCAAGTATTTGGACATTTTGTCCCCAGATGGCGGCACTGTTTTGGGAGGTTTTAGAAGGAGTGGCTATCCTGGGGGTGGGCTTAGAGAGTTCTTAAGCCTTGCCAGATCTCCAGTCTTCCTGTGTGTCTCTTGCTTCCTGTGCCTGTGTGATGATGTGAGAGCTTAGCTTCTGCTGCTCCTGCTCCTGCTTCAGCCACCTCCAGCCACCATGCCTCCCTGCCATGACTGACTGTAATTCCCCTGGAACTGTAAGCTCAAATAAATTCTTCCTTCTATAAATTGCTTGGGTCAGTGTTTCTATCACAGCAACAGAAAAGTGACTAATACAGTGTGTATATGTGAATGCAGGTGTTTGAGGAAACCAGAGGTGCTGGAGCCCCCTGGAGTTACAGATGCTATGAGCAAACTCATGTAGTTGCTGGGAATTGAACTCAGGTCCTCTGGAAGAGCAGTATGTGCTCTTAATCACTGAGTCATCTCTCTAGCCCCTATTTTTTTTTTTTTTTTTTTTTTTTGAGCTAGGGTCTCTCACTGAATCTGAGGCTTGCCATTTTGGTTAGACTTCCTGGGCAGCAAGCTCTAGGAACCCATCTGTCTCCACCTCCTGTGCCATGCCTGGCTTTTATGTAGGTGCTGTACACCTGAACTCAGGTCCTCATGCTTATGCAGCAAGCACTTGACCCACTGAACCATCTCTCTACTCCTGATCTTTGTATTTTTGAAGAGTACAGAACATTTATATCATAGAAAATGCCTTAATTTGGCTTGGCCTGCCTCTTCACTATCAGATGGCAAGTTATACAATTCTGGCAGGAATACCTCAGATATAGTATCCTATCCTTGGTTCATTTTATCAAGAAGATATATGATTTCTATTTTTCCCATTGCTAGTGATAATGTTTAAACTTGGTCTGTTTAAAATTTCTCTGTGTTAAAATTACTTTTGCTTTGTAACTAGTATTTTGGGAGATGATACTTTTTTAGTAGGTAAATATTCTTTTTTTTTTCCTCTTAAAATACTTATTGTGATCATTTTAAGCTAAATTTAAAAAAAGTGTATGATTGCTTGTATGTATGTACGTATGTGACTCTGTGTCTGCTTGGTGCCTGCAGAGGCCAGAGTGGGCATTAGATCCCTTGGAACTGGAGTTACAGATGGTTGTAAGCTGCCATGTGGTGTTGGGAACTGAACCTATCATCTATAAGAGTAGCCAGAGCTCTTAACCTTGGAGTCTTCTCCCCAGCCCCCAAATATAGATAATTTAATCATCTAATGACTCTAGATTGAAATAATCATTACCATGGTGGTTTTAAAGGTTTCCCAATTTTTCCATTCCTTTGTCTTTGATTAGTCAGAGTGTAATGCAAAGCTTTCCCTGTCGTCTGCTTATTTACATATTTGCTTATGCCATTATGGATTGCTAGATTCTTATTTTACTTCATGTGCTATAATCAGTTATCATTTGCTGTGATTTTCAAAAATTATATTGTTTTGTGCTAACAAAGTTTGAAATCCAAGATTGGACTCATAGAATGAGTTGGGAAATATTTTCTTCTTTTCTTTTGCTTTTTAGAAAAATATCCATTTGGGCCAGGTATAATGGCATATGCTTATAATCTCAGCAGTCAGAAGACTAGGGCAGAAGAATCAGGAGTTCAAGGCCAGCAAAGTATATAGAAGAACATATTTAAGAAAAAAAAAGTAAAAAGGACAGAAAGTAAGAAAAAGTAAGCAAGCAAGCAGCTCCCAGATAGGTTGCCCTTTATGTTTTAATTTTTTAGTAATTTATTATTTCATCATAAATAGTGATCAGCATTATTTATAGTAGCATAAAATAATTGGTGATGTTTATTTGTCAGATGCAAAGACTGATTAAGCCTAACAGAGTCCCTGAAGCACATAATTTTGACCTTATTAGGAAAACAGTTTTAACCTAAAGGTGTGGTGGTACACAACTTTAATCCCAGCACTCAGGAAGCAGAGGAAGGCACATCTCATAGGACAGCCTGGTCTACACAGAGTGTTCCAGGCCAGCTGGGGCAACAGGGAGACTCTGTTTTCAAAAAACCAAACCAAACTAATTCCCCCACCCCCTCCCAAAACCCACCTAAAACAACAAAACCTTTTTCGACCCAATTTCAATACATTAACAGAATACTTTGGGGGATGCTTAAAACTCGAGTGTTACAGTGCTTTTGAGTCTTTACGCCATCATTGAAGACCCAGGAGATTTTCTTTGTGTAATCTCAGTAGTAGGGCACCTACGTTTATCTTAAGCATCTTTGTAATTTTCATTCATGGGCACTGCTGACTTTAGCTCATTATGCTATATGCTAGAAAACTATGGTCAAGCATAAGGTCTAGCGCTAGTAAAAGACCTTAGAATAGTAACCTCCCATTTATAGACTTTTGACAACTTTATTTTTCTTCTATGTATTTTTCTAAGCCACCTAAAATTAAACACTTAACTAAAAAAAAAATAGTATTATTAATAAAAGAGGTCAAGGCTATACAGAAAGTTTCTATTTTCTCAGGGTTCCATGCTCCAAAGGAGCACAACATTAGAAACCTCATTCTAGGGCTGTTCTGATGCTTACCTTCTCTGCTACTTCTCTCACAGACTGAACACTTGTTCCATACAGGTGATTGTTATACTGGCCAGCCTCAATGAATTTATGCTCCTGGATATCTTTTTCCATTTGCTCTCTTGAAGTCACAAAATGATAATCTCTTCCATCTACTTCATAGTCTCGTTTTGGTCTAGTTGTATCTTTAATAAAAAAGAACTTGGGGAAGTGTTTAATATTTAAAAACAGAATAAATTCATGTTTTACTTAAATAACTGTTTTGTGAAACAGTTCAAAAAGCCCAAACTTTTAAACCAAAACCCCATTAAAATAGCCATTACTTTTTAAAAAATTACCACATACAATAATAGAAAATGTTAAGAAAAGAATTTTAATTTGCGTTACTCACGAGGGACACAAGATCCAAATTTGTCAGGAAATTCTGAGATCAAGTCATCATTTATCCTGTCCTTCATGGGTCCCAGGATGATGACTGGTCGAGTATAATTAACTATTAAGATAAAAACATTGAAAGGAATAAACACTCAACAAACACTAATGTGTTTTATTTCTGCAGGGAACAAAAATATGCTGAACTATTATTATCAACGAAACCAACTCATTATTTTATAAACCTTTATTAAAATCTTAAAACTTTAATGGCTGCACCATCCCTCCAGCCCAAGACAGGGAGATAAAGAGACAGAAATAGTGCCTAGCTAGTATAAAAAACCAGAGGGAATGGTATTAGTCCAAAAACCTACTGAAAAATTACACATACAATATCCCTACATGAGTCCTGAGTATAGCTGAAGACTACATAACAAGAAACCGTGCCTGACAGGAGAAACCTTCCTTTTGAGTTGTTGGCTAGGTAAGTCCAAGAGACTTCCAAAATTATACATGTTATTGCCACAGTCTTTGATTGTCTCCCAGAACTTGATGCTAAGACCCTACTGCTGAAGACAGGACGTACTTTGGACACAGGATTTGGAGCAATAGAGCTGGAACTGACCTGGAAGCCTCCTCCCCTGATGGCCAGCTCTCAAAGCTTTGGAGAGCACTATACAAGCTGGTCTATCAATCGATGGTCCAACCCCAGCTTCAGGGCCTAAAAACCACATCAATGACCAGCACAGCAAATGACACTGGTGCAGTAGTGGCACTTTTATCTTGGGGGATAATCAACAGCTACCTAATTGGACTTAAAGTCCAGTCAATGGGCGGAAACTCATGTGGTACTGTAAACCTAGCCAAATACACATAGCTGGGGAAGTCATAGATCTTTCCCTAAACAAATGGAATTTCTTACTACGTGCAAAATATGGATCTTTAAATTTACAGACAAGTATCCCAGTTACCACCCATCAAAGTAGCTTCTTTTTCAACAGAGATTATTCTAGAATTACACCACTGGTCACACACAGAGATTCTCTGTGAATTGCCCAAGCCCAAGTGGCACATTTAGGATGCAACCTCTATACCTAAGACTCATGGAACATAGAACAAGGGATGAAGAGAACACTAATGCATCTTTCAATTCTCATCAGTGAAGCTTCCTCATACAACAGAGGGCCAGGAACATAAAAGACCACAAAGGGCGAAAATGCAAAGAATAAGAGTTGGCAGAGCATGGGTCCTTGAACAGGTTTCCTATACTGAGGTCCACCCACCCAGGGCTCAGGGACCATTGTGGAAGAGGGGGCAGAAAAATCCTAAGAGCCAGGGAGGAGGTGCATGACCATACAGAAATAGTCCTACAGGTGCCTGGGACCCTTCTCATATAACCCTACAACAATGATGTCAGCATGTACAAGACCCAAGCAAACTTAGGCAGACAAAAACCCAGCATACAACTGTGGAAATGAACAGCAAGTCCCAATCTTAGTCAAAGAATTATTGGCAGCTAATTACTGCTGGGTGAGGAAGAGCAGATCTTGAAGAGAGAGACTCTAGATAGACTAACTAAACCCTGGAGGATGAACTTGCACTGAGGAACATCTTGGGACACTAACTTGACAATAGGCCTTAATACAAATAACAGAATGTATGAACTCCAGTGGTGGTGGTGGGGCAATGGGAGGGTGCCAAAGGGGAAGGGGGTATAAAGATTTTATGAAATACACAAAAATTCAATAAAAAATATAAAAAAAAATAGAGGGGACTTTAAGTAGGGATGGGGTAGGAAGACAGGGAAGAAGAGAGGGTATGCAGGGGGTGGGTAGACAAAACTAAGGATGTATGAAAAATCCTTATGAAAACCCATGACTTTGGAGGCTAATTAAAAAGTACTACATGGGGCTGGAGAGATGGCTCAGAGGTTAAGAACACAGGTTGTTCTTGCAGAAGACCCGGATTCAAATCTCAGCACCCACATGGCAGCTAACAACTGTCCGTAACTCTAGTTCCAGAGGACCCGACAAGCCTCTTCTGTCCTCTGTGGGCATTGCAGGACACGGGTGCACTTACCTACATGCAGGCAATACACACATACACATAAAATAAAAATAAAGAAAACATAAAAAAAATATATAAAAAAAGTACTGCATGATGGACAATGCTTCCCTCAAAAGACATAGGATATTAAGTAAAACTCTGAATGCTTGGTGTGGGACACCTCCTTATGGGTTATTGGTCAGGGAGGTCCCAGGGGCCCCGCACTTTGATTGCAGAACATAGAGATATATGGGTTACTGGGGGAGGGAGGGAGGAATATCATTGGTACTACCTAGTGGTAAACTTTGCATATGACCATACCAACCTGTTAGGCAAGATGTGCCCATTGGTGCAATAGTGGCATAAATGTTATGGGGAAATCAACTGCTTTTGGGTTGGAATTGAGACCTGCTCCATAGGATGGAATTCATGCCTGGCACTGTAATCCTGGTCAAAATCCCAAGGCTCAAGAGGTCATACGTCCTAGGGAGGAACCCAGTACTGTTATTTCTATAAATGGACATGTTGCCAAACTTCCTTCTAAACATTTATCTTTATGCAAACAGATTACTGCGGTCCTCAACCTTGGCCAGAGACACATCTCTCGGTAGTGACCAGCAGTTAATGTAGTCATCAGCAGTTAAAGACTCATAACTGACCAAAGTGCTGAGAATAAGCGACTACTGAGTGCTCAGCCCTAAATGAGACATTTCTATCCCACCACACCCCACACCAAGGCTCAGGAAACATGGTGGAAGAGAAGGAAGAAAGAATGTAAGAGCTGGAAGATGGGGTGTTATAGTGCTATAAAGTGCTGTCTTCTGGACATGGCATGCCCACTGCACTCATGAACACATTACAATTATGATTACCGGCATAAAATCTGCACAAGACCAAGTCAGCAAGATCAGCCAACATTCTAACAGTCAGCAGAGGATATGAGGTGGGGAGAGGGACATATTAGGTGTTTCCCCGGTAGATTATGTTCAAGATACGTGTTTACATATATGAAATTGTCAAAGAATAAAAATATACTGTTTAAGAAAAAAAAAATCTTAAACTTGACTCAATCTCCTAGAAGCCAATCAAGACAAATTTAGTATCCTCACACATCTATATATTGCTAACATCATTACAAATCAGAAAAAGTATGGTGTTTCACTGGTTTAAAAAAAAAAAAAGCATTTATAGCTGGGCGTGGTGGTGCACGCCTGTAGTCCCAGTGCTGAGTTCAAGGCCAGCCTGGTCTACATAATGAGTTCCAGGACAGCTGGGGCTACAGGGAGACCCTGCTTTAAAAAGACAAAAAAACAAAAAAACAAACAAACAAAAAACATTTCTATTTTATTTGTATGTGTGTTTTGCCTTCATGTATGTAAGTACCCCATGTGCATTCAGTGCCCCTGAAGGACAGAAGCGGTAACTTGACCCCTGGAACTGGAGTTACAGACAGTTGAGAGCTGCCATGTTGGTGCCAAACCCACCATGTGGGTGTCAGAACTGAACATGGGTCCTCTGGACGGCGCTTAAGCGTGGAGCCATCTCCTTAGTCCCTTAATGATGGTTTTTAAAGTAGAAACTAAGGAAGAAGACCAAAGAAGAGCTACCGCCATGCCCTCAAATCAACTGGATATAGGAAGTGATATAATCTCAGTAGTGACCTAGAAAGATGACCTAGCAGAGTACACACTGGGCTGTTAAAGGGTCATGTCAAGGGAGACTGGTGGTGAAAAGCAGAACTAGTATGTGCTAGGAGGAATGAAAAATGGTCTTGGTGAGAAAGATGTAACAAGCTGAATAAAGAGGGCCTAGAACCTGCTTGGATGAAGGGATAAGAAACTTCACAAGTTTAAAAATGCCAAGACTTTTAAAAGGTGCTATTACAAGGATAATAATGGCACTATAAATGCTCAAGTGGCTTAGGAAATAGAAATATAACACCAACACAAGACAGACAATATCAAATGACTTAGTCCTAATAGTCTGTTGGCAAATTTTCTACAATATAGTTCTAGCAATTTTCTACATATAGTTAAAAATTGGCAAAATTCTGATACAATATTTTAAATATATCTTATAGATCTATTTTCCAAATTAAGAAGTATATTTTTAAAATTTACACTTATTATCTATCTGTATATATGTGCTTGCTATAGCCTGCATGTGGAGGTCAGAGGACAACTTCTGGGAATTGGTTCTCTCTTTCCATTCATCTGGGTTCTAGGGATCAAATTCAGGTCATCATGCTTGGCAACAAGCCCCCTAATGTGCTGAGTCATCTCACTGGTCCAGAAGTGGACTTTTTAATATTTTATTTAATATTTCTATTTTATGTGTATGAGTGTATTGCCTGCATATATGTGAGTGCACCTGTGCCATGCAATGCCTTGGAGGTCAGAAGAGGGCATCAGATTCCTCTGGAACTGGAGTTAAGGATGATTTGTAGTTGCCATGTGGGTGCTGGGAATCGAACTCGGTTCCTTTGCGAGAGTAGTCAGTGCTCTTAACTGGTGAGCCATCTCTTCAAACCCCCAGAAGTGGACTTCTTAATAAGGTTACAAAACATCAATAGACTTTACAAACCTTCTTGTTGATTCACTGGCTCATAAGACAAGACATATTCTTCTTGACCACCTGTTAGAAAGTTAAAGCAAAAATAAGAAAATGTGTAAAGATAATTTATGCCAATCAAATCCCCCTCTAGACAACAAATCTAATTCTTCACATACAACATATAAGTTACCAGGACTTTTTTGAGAAATGAACATGATGTAGATTAAGGTACTTATGTCATAAATTATTCATGGCCAAGATTTAGAAAAAAATTGTTCAGCCATACAGACAAACTTGATAAATACAAGATTAAACATAGATGTGCTATCTTTCAATAACTGCCCTTTTGCTATTCTGTGTTTATTTATAAATCATCAAATCCATTAAAATCTTCATTTCTGCATGGAGATGTAAATTAATGGCAGGCTGCTTGCCTACCACCTATAAGGCCCTGGGTTTAATTCTGCAGAAAACAAACAATAACCCCGCCCCCAAACAATAATCTACCCTCACCAACAAAACAAAACCCTTTTATTTGGGATGAACATTTACTATAAATATGTACAGTGGCTGGATGTGGGAGTGCATGCCTATAATGCCAGCACTTGAGAGAGGCTGAGGCAAGAGGGTTGCCAGTTTAAGGCCAGCCTGGATTATGTAGAGATTCTGCCTCAAAACAAAACAAAACAACAACAACAACAACAACAAAGGCAAAGCTGGGCATGGACACATCTTCAATCTAAACACTAGGGAGACAGAGGCAGCCAGTTTCTGTGAGATTGAGGCCAGCATAGTCTACCTAGTGAGTTATAAGGTAGCTGGGGTTACTGGGCAACAACGTTTGAAAAATCAAAACCAGAGGCTGGGTGTGGTGACATATGCCTTTAATCCCAGCACTTGGGAGGCAGAGGCAGGCGGACTTCTGTGAATTCAAGGCCAGCCTGGTCTACATAGTGAGTTCCAGGTGAGTGGGACTGCAGGGAGACCCTGTCTCAAAAAGACCAAAACCAAACCAAAACAAAACAAAAGCAAAAACAAAGTTCATGTTGGAGAAATGTGTATTCAAGTTACCAAAAATCCAAACCAAAACAAAACAAAAACCAAACAAAAAACCAACCAACCCCTCCAAACAATCACCTCCAAAACGAATCGAAACGAAACCAATTCGGAGTTAAAAAAAAAAAAAAAAAAGCTTTAGATAGAACAAAATCATTCCCTTCCAACAAAATGAATCAGTGATAGTAAAGGCAATGTATTTTGTTTTGCTTACAAAAACACTTCAGCACTGCTCTTCAGAAATATCATAAATGAAAGTCTACCAATTATATATGAACACAATGAAAATAATTAGTTAAAAACCTGCTGTTAGCCTATGAATTTGAAAGTACTGGCATAACTGTTTCTGTTTTAAAATGTGCATGTTTGCCTTCAATTTTATTACTGTAGTACTTCAAAACAGGTATTTTACAAGCTGCTTTTAAAATTACTAAATGTAAAATACTATTTACATATTAGCAAGAGCATGCAGGTGACTATTTCACACCTTAATAATTCATGCAAATGGTGAAAAGAGACAGTATATACTTCCACTACCTCTTTCAAATTACTCAATAGTAGATTCTGGTTATCAGTAAATAAAATACTGAAATATAAGAACCCCGCCCCCAATTAAGTAACTTTTATATAGAGGAAATAGCCAACCAAATGAATGAGGGTTAAAAGTATATAATGCCAACATGAATGCTGAGGACTGATAGTGACAGGATGGACCTTTTGAGCAGCCATACTCATCTGTAATCAAGATTACTTTCATTTTAGACAGCAGTAAGAAAAGGTTAGAAAAACAATTTTAATTTTTAAGTTGCTACAATCGATATTCATATACTCTCCCCTCCTTCCATGCCCCAATTTGTCTCAAAAGTTTCACATTTGTCTAGTACAATTAATACTAAGAATATAACATAAAACACCAAGGGAAAAAACAGTATTGCTTTTTGAGCAACAGTTGAATAATTTTCCTTGTTCACCAGCAGGTGGTGACAAATGATGACCCCATAATTAGTGACACAAAAAGAAAATCAACTAATTACAATTTAGCATTACTAACAAATATCCTTTTAATGCTCATGTCAAAAATCAAATTATTAAAGAAAATGTGAAAATACAAGCTGATTCCCATTCAATCAGATATAAATATACACACATAAACATACACATGTATGGTGTACACAAATAAGTTGGTGAATGGGTTTTAGTATTCATTAAAACCTTGAAATTAATCTGTATGAATAGGTTTACTGCCTCCTAGCCAAATTCCTAAGGCAAAATTGTTTCAGATTTTACTTTCTGAATTTAAAAACACTTGCACAGACTATGCTGGCTGAACATTTCTGAACTGAAAATTTGAAATCCGAAATGTTCCAAAATCTGACACCTTTAGAGTATCATGTTATTGCGAGAAAAGTTTTGGATTTTGGGTTAGAGATGCTCAATCTGTACTATGATTTCATTTTTTAAGCACGTAATTTTATATGGCTTTTCTTGATTTTAAAATATCAAGTATCTGACTTCTAGTTTTTAGAGCCTATCACTAAAGAAAAAGTCACCCAGAGATATTTATTACTTCTTTTACCAAAGAACGAGTAACGTTAAAACACTTACGGTAACTACTTTCACTATCGCTGGCATTAGAAGTTACATGCTCTGTAATTGAAGAAAAAAGAAGAGAAAAAGAAAACACCGTGTCATGAATTAAAAGCTGACAAAAGCAAATTATCAAAACAAAACAAGGTGATACTGTAAACTCTGAGATGTAAATCATATACAACCACAGAATTTAAAAAATTAGACTTTCTATGAAGTTAAAATTTCAAATAAATTAACAAGAATTAGTAAGGAAAAAAACATACCTGTAGTAACAAACAATGCCTTATTTTGGTATTATGGAATTTATAAATAAAATCTACAGCATAAAACCAAGTATAATGTGACAGAGGTGGCAAGGTAATTTTGGAATTAGCTCAAGCGTACACATAAAATCCAAAAAGAAAAAATATATTTGGCACCATTTAGTTGGAGGTGCCAGCAGAGGAGACAAGTTCTATGTGAGCAAACAGGTGCTCACTCTAATGATGGGATGCCTTTCTCATTTCAAAGATCAGGTTTTAGTTCAGCTTCTGGACTAAAACTTCTCCCTTTTCCTAAAGAGAAGTGAAAACCTAGGTTTCTGATCATCCAAAGCACTGCAGGTAACAACTTCAATGTCTCAAAAAATCAAATGGAAGGGGATTTGAGGCTGATATTGCATTTCAGAGATTATTTCTAGCAACTCTCCTTTGATAAAATTGACACTAGCTGTTTTGCAAAACAAAACCACCCTCTCCAAGTATTAGTTACAAACTGCCTACCCTCTGGCTCAGAAGTGGCCCCATTTCATAACTGATAAACACAAATATATTTATATAAATGTAAGCTCCCAATAAACATTTTCCCTGAATAAAGGAATAAGAATTTTATTTACAAAAACCAAAAGCAAAACTTCCAATGAGAGAAAGAAACCTAAAATTTTAATGTTAGGGAAGGAAATTAAAAAAAATTAAGGACAAACAAATTTGAGGCTAAATACCTGCTATACTACATCTAATGGGTTTCTTAAAAATCAAGTAGCACCACTGAACAGTACAGAGAAGGTGGAATTTCAGATTTCAAAAAAAACTATCAACTAAGAGCAACTGTAACTGCCATCATAGTGGAAAACAAGTGTCTTAATTTTGACCTGCAAAGAAAAAGACATAATTCTCTTAAATTTTTTTGTGTTGTGTTTACACATCTCTCTCTCTTTCTCTCTCTCACTCTCTGTATGTGTGAAGGTCAACACTGGGTGCCTTTCTCTCTCACATCTTATTTTTGGAAGCAGTGTCTTTCACTGATTGGGCAAGACTAGCTGGCCAGGAAATCCCAGAAACCCTATTTTGGCCCCCTTAGTGCTAGGATTATAAGCACATACCACCACAACCACTTTTTTACATAGGCTCTGGGGAGTTGAACTTAGGTTCTCATGCTTTTGTGACAAGCAGTTTGCTGAATGAGCCATCCCCCTAGCCGTATGTTTTTTCTTCTTTTTTCCTCTTGAGACAAGGTCTCCCTATAGTCCCAGCTGGCCTGGAACTTGCTAGGTAGACCTGCATAGCCTCAATCTCACAGAGATCTCTCTACCTCCCAAGCGCTAGGATTAAAGGTATGGGACACCATGCCAGGGCAAGATGCATAACTTGTCATAGTTTACATTTTAAATAAAGTAGGGGAGGGGAGCCATTTTCTTCAGTAGCACAAGTCATTGGTAAGCTACCCATGCTCCAGCAAATAACCCCCCACACTCATGATCAGACAAGCAGCCTTAATGAAATTCAGTGGGTCACAAAAAGAAAACAAAAGACATGAAAGAGGGGGATCTGGAGAAGGGGTCTGGCAGGAGTGGGAGGGGGATGAGAGAGGGTAACGACTAAAATACATTCTACATGTATAATATTGTCAGAGAATAAAAAAAATGTCAACCTTTTCCTATAACTTATCAACCATCAGTAAAAATTATATCTAAAAACAGGTTAAATCCCAGCACTTGGGAGGCAGAGGCAGGTAGGTCTCTGTGTTTGAGGCCAGCCTGGTCTACATAGCAAGTTTCAGGCCAGCTGGGGCTACAGGGACACTCTGTCTCAAAAAGACCAAAAAACAAACTAAAAAACCAAATAAAAACCAAATAAAAACAAAACAAACAAACCAACAAACCAACCAAACAAACAAAAAAAACCAGACTAAAACTTACAATAAAATTGTTTTTTCCCCCATTTTCATGTGTATATATGCATGTTTTGCATGAGTGTGGGGCCATGCATGTGAGGATACACATGCACATTTTGTATGCATTCACGTAGAGGCCCGAGGTTGATGTCAGAAATCCTGTATGGCTCTTCTACCATATTAATTGAAGCAGAGTCTCTTGATCAAAGCTTAGTCTGGTTAGTTAGCTTATTCTGGGGGTCTCCTGTCTCTTCTTTCTGAGGCTGAAACTGCAGGTGAGCCACTGCACCCACCCAGCATATACATGGGTTCCAGGTATCCAAACTTGGGTCCTCATTCACTTTAACCACTGAACCATCTCCTCAGCTCCCCCAAATTCTTTCTCATGTTACTACATGGACTTCAAAACAAGCATTTTGAATTACTGTGTGATATTCAAATTAATTGATAAACTGTAAATTACCTGTTACTAAGACATTTTAATTTGCTTAAACTTTTCATAAGCATCAATAACTCTAAATGCCTTCATTTATATAGCTTTTTACCTGTCTTATTTCCTTAAAATTCATTCTAAGTAGGAATACCACAATAAAAAACAAAAAGATAACTTAAAAAAATTATTATTTTTATTTTATGTGTATGCATGTATTGCCTGCATGTAGGTAAATGCAGCCATGTCCTGCAATGCCTGTGGAGGTTAGAAGAGGCTGCTGGATCCCCCTGGGACTGGAGTCATGGACAGTTGTTAGCTGCCATGTGGTACTGGGATTTGAACCCAGGTCTTCTACAGGAACAACCAATGTTCTTAACCGCTGAGCCACCTCTCCAGCCCCCTAAAAAATAATTTCTTAAATCTACATTAGGGCTGGCATCACACTCTCAAATGTCTAATTTGTACTTTTCCTTTTTTTTTTCGGAGCTGAGGACCGAACCCAGGGCTTTGCACTTGCTAGGCAAGCGCTCTACCACTGAGCCAAATCCTGAACCCCATGAATTTCTAATTTGTAAAAGAAAGGAAAATAAGCTACTGCAGTGGAGTAGAAGCAAAGGGGCATAAGTGGAGTATACGGAAAAACGAATCTGGTTAATGGTGAGCTGGTAATTATAGAAACTGGGTAAAAGAAGACTTGTAGGGTCCATTTTTATTATACTACAATTCACGAGATCTGACATGTTAGATAAATTACTATTCTTTCTTATTTCACCTACTCATCTTGAACTTAAAGAAAAAAGATGGTGCTCTTTTAAAATATTTTTAAATTATTATTTTTTATTTTATGTGTATGTATTGTCTTCACGTAGGCAGGTGTACTCATGTCATGCAATGCTCAGGGGGTTCAGATCCCCCAGAACTGGACTTATGGACAGCTGTTAGCCACCATGTGGGTTCTGGAAATTTAACACTTAACCTGTGAACCATTTCTCCAGCCTCTGAAACTGATTTTAAAAAAAGATTTATTTTTGTGTGTTTTGCCTATATGTATGTAAGTGCACCACATGTGCAGTGCCTACAGAGGCCAGAAGAGGGCACTGGATCCCCTGGAACTGTAGTTACAGGCAGTTTCAAGTTGTGTGGGTGCTAGGAACCAAACCTAGGTCCTCTGCAAGAGCAGTAAATGCTCTTAATCAAGCTATCTCTCTAGCCCCTCACCCTGAACTATTTAAGACCACCAAAACATACAATAATCAAAATTTGGAGGTTCTTTCATATTTTCTGTACTTACCTCCTCTGCACTAAAACCTTGCTGCTTAAAGTATGGGCCTTGGAATAGGACAATTGCTATTATTGCTTGGGAACAAACTAGAAAGATAAAGTGACCCCCAACACTTAAAATTACAATGACAAAAGATATTTCAATCATCCACTGGAATAGCTAAACAAAACACCACAAAACCAGTCATGTCAAGCATAGACAAGGGTATGAAGTCACTGGAGCTCCTCTGCTAGAGTTAGGTAAACAGGCATTAAAAACACTCTGGAGAGGGCTGGAGAGATGGCTCAGAGGTTAAGAGCACTGACTGCTCTTGCAGAAGACTTGGATTTGATTCCCAGCACCCACATGGTGGCTAAGAACCGTCCTTAACTCCAGTTCCAGGGGAATCTGATGCCTTCTTCTGACCTCTGTGGCACTGCACGAAATGGGTGCACTCACATACACGCCGACAATACACTCGTATACATAAAATAAAAAAAATAAAAAAAATATTTAAAAGAAAAAAATACTCTGGAAAAGTTATTTGTCAGCACAGTCATTTCTAGATATTCATGAAGGTTGGTTCCAGAACTCCAAGGAGTAGCAAAATTTAAGACCATGAAAGTACCTTTCTTAAAAACATGTAGTATTTGCATGTAACTTCCTCCCTTCCTTCCTAGACAGGGTCTCACATAGCCCAGATTGGTCCTGAAATATGTAGTGGAGTCTACCCTTGAATTGTTGTATCCAGCCTCTAACCTCCCCAAGTGATGGGATTACAGGCCACACTTGGCTTCCCATACACTTTAATACATCTCTGGATATAAGACCTAATACAGTGTAAAGAGTTGCCATACCATTCTGTCCAGAGAATGAGGAGGAAATTAAGTCCAGTCAATACTCAGTTACTGGGGATTGCGAAGTGAAAAATGCTCAAAAAAGTGCTGTGGAGAGACTGAGGATCTGTGGAATGGCAGGATGCTGCAGGAAGAATATGGTGATACATCCCTTCATTTAAGTGGATTTAGTACAGTGCTTTGTGTATGTGGCATAGTTAAGTTTTTGTGCTTTGCAAAAATTTGGCATTTTTTCCCAAAATATTTTCAATCTGTAGTTGGTTCAATCCATAGACATGGAAACCATTATGATATGGAGGACACGGAGGGCCAATGTTGTAAAGCTGAACAAATGTATGTGTGACCTAGTAGTTCCCTAAATACTTCCCCTCATTAAAAGACAGCCACAAGAACATTCCAAACGACACAATTAGTAAAAAGTCCCAAACACATTTTATGTGCATATCTGAAACGTGCAGCTTCACTTTTACTCATTCTGTTTGTATTGTGAGCATTTTTCCCATTGTTTGTAAGTAGCCTAGGCTGCTATCAGACTGCTGATGCTCTTGCTTTAGCTTCTGAGGGCTGGGATTCTAGGAATGAGCCACAATGTCTGGTTTTTAATGTGATTTTTCAATAGCCATTATGACATTATACAGTATTGATAAATCATACTTCACTAATCATTTCCAAATTAAGACATTTTAGGAAAGCTTTAATTTTTTTGCAGTTACTTCTAAATAATATTAAAATCAACTTTTTGATATGTAAGCCTTTATTTTCATTTCCAATTACATTCTTAGGACAATTTCCTTAAAGAGGATTTAATGGGCCCAAAAGGTAAGTTTTTTGTTTTTGTTTTTTTTAAGAAAAAGCAGTATACATTTGTATCCCTAATCAAAACACATCATATTCTTGTTTTATTTTATTTGCTTATCTTCTGAGCACTGTTGTTGCTAAGGGTTGGATCTATAGTATCTCTCAAAGGCCCATAAATTAAAGATCTGGTCCCCAGCTTGGTACTATTAGAAGGTGGTAGAAACTCTAAGAGGTACTGCTTAGTGGGAAGTGTTAGGTCACTCAGGGTGTAATCTTTTCTTTTTTTAAAACAGGGTTTCCCTGTAGCCCCAGCTGGCCTGGAACTCACTTTGTAGACCAGGCTAGCCTCGGCCTCACAGATATCCACCTTCCTCTGCCTCCTGAGTGCCGGGATTAAAGGCTTGGGCCACCATGCCTGGCACATTGATTTTATTTTCTCTGAATACTAAGTGTCATCAATCCCAAGCAATACTACTTTCACATCTCATTTGTAACACAAATAAAAATAAGCCTGGGGTTGGCATTTAAGACCTGTACACAACTCTGCTTAAATAGGGCTTTAGAGTAAGAAAAAAGGAGATAATTACATGGGCAACTGAGGAAGCTTTTGAGGTGTTTTATAAAATCAAAATTGTGAAAATGGAAAGGCCACTACTTTAGATAGGCACAAACCTTTTTTGAAACTCTATCATGATTTTACTTCTGGCACTGTATATATCTTCTACTGAGTTGTATTTACTTTATCTTACTTTGTTCAATTAAAAATCTGACAGGATTTTGCTTATCCACTGCATTCTGAACTTTATACTAATAACATATGTGTATAATATGCACTAATAACTTCACGATGAACAGCCTGACAACTGCTTTATGTGATCTGCTTTATGTGAGAACTTCCATCATACCCAATTTTTAGAATTTTACTCATATTTTTCTGTTTTCCTCAACATTCTCCAAATAAAACCTTGATTTAATCATTAGGTTGCCACGTGAATAAAGTCTTTCAATTCCTGTTGAATGAAATAAATACTTATAACACAATGAATCTTAAGTCACTCTCTACAACAAGAAAATCTTTTTGCAAGTGATAATGTGTGGTAATCAGTCATTTTTATGTTTTTTTTTCTTCTTAAAGAAGCTTCAATTTGCAGTTAGAAATAGAGACACATACAAGGGCAAGGCACAATTATATGTAACCGTGTCAATATGGGAACTGAATTCTTCAGTTAATTCTTTTTTCCTAAGAGTTTTTCATAGGCGCTTCAAGGATGAAAACTCCAAATTGACCCATACAGGCTCTAAAATATATCAACCTTAAAACTTACATAGTACCAATAATCTGTGGAAATATTTCCTGGTTGTTAAGGTTTTTACTGGTCATTTTTCCAAAATGTAAAACATTAAAAAAAAAAAAAAAGATGCCATTAGTGGTAGGAATTTGTGGGCAAAACCAAATTCTTAAAAAAAAAAAAAATCCTATGCAAGAGCAAAGCATATCTAATAGAAATACACATTACAAATACGATCTAATAATATGAACTTAAATCATTAAGACTGAATAAAATAAAAAAAACACCTATTACTAAAATTCTAGTATAGTTACTGTGAACTGAGAAAAAAACCCTGTAAAACTTAACATTATTTATTAATGTAGCTCTTAGTAAGCTAACTATATCCTTAATGACCAATGAACTACTCAGAAGTTTTCAAAATGCTTAATAATACAAAAGGAAAGAATGATTTAGAACAAAACTACTTAAAATATTATTTATATGACTCACCATCACCTAAAATTACTTAGTAATATTTGGTGAATTTTCAAATGTAAGCAATTTGAATATAACCAAATTTAAAACAAAGTCTCACTCTGTAGCCCAGGCTGGCCCCAAACTCATGATCCTTCTGCCTCTAGTGATAGGCTCACAGGCACGTGCCACCATGCTTGGCTCTGTTTATTTATTGGATTCCTTCTATTACCACACTCTGCCAATCTTTATATGACATTAAGTATTAGAAAATAAAGGACAACAACAACAACAAAACCCAAATAACCTCTGGTTAAAGAACAACAATTATATTTTGTATAACTCTTCTTATAATCTCTTTTAAAGAGACCCAATTTTCCCCCTAAACTGCTGCTCGAATTTTCACATTAAAGCAATGGTTTTCTAACACATAAAGTGCCTTAAATTTATTTTAACAAAACCAAAAGGGAGACACAAAATTCCAAAGATGTCTATTTTTACATTCTATTAATATGGGCAGGTGGTATTATTTAAAAGACTTCAAAAAAAGTTTACAGCTAAAAAAAAAAAATCCTAGCAAAAGTACCATAAAAATTAATTCTAAATCTCAAAATGTAATTATGAGTAGTTTTCCAATGACATGTAAAAAATGGAATATAAGAAAACAACAAAAAATGTTATTATAGAAATGAAAATCCCAAGCACGTTACAAACATGAAAAGTCTAAAAGCAATCTAAATCACATACCTCCTCATGCCAGAAGGGCACTACCATGAATCTCAAAATGTATCTGAATAAGGCAGGAGGTTAAAAAATAACTTGGGAGTATTTTGATCACTTACTCAGGCCTTTTGATCCCATGTCGTCAGGGATCTCCTGTAGAGAGTAGTCCCCAGAGAGCAAGCAATAAAAAGATATCAAAGAAAATAGTTGTCAGTGATGCATAAAATTGGTGCTACAGTAAGAGACAGTTCCAAGACCATTGCAGGTGCACACATCTTACAGAACATTGTTCTGAAAGTTTAGAATGAGCTACCAACTAAATGTTACCTACAGAAAGAGTGAAAACTGTAGCTTAGCAGGGGATTATAGAGTAGAAAGGCAAAATTTGGGGCATTCTCTATACTTTGAGTAAAAATTACATTATCTACACTTAATGATGAAATGGGATAAAGTGGAATGACTCTAGATGATCTAGTATAAAAACTGGCAGTACTATACCTCAAAATCAGGTACCCATGTTCTTTCTCAAAAATATTCTTTGAAGGTATAAATATTGAAGTGTTTTTTTAATATGAACTTCCACTTCAAATAATTCCATTCATTTTTATAAGCTATAAACATATAACTTAAAAAATACTGCTCAAGAATTCCTTGAAGTGCCAGAAAAGTTGGGTCTGGCATACAAATTAATTAATGTGTGGTAAGTTTTGCCTGGTTAAGAAAATTAGTAACCTGTTGCAGCTCTTGAAACTGTCTCCATGGTAACAACCAGCTGCAGGGCAGTAGGCCCCTCTGCGTTTTATCTTCAGTTGACCACTGAATCCACATACTTACGGTCAGCATCACTTGCTTCCTGCTCGCTCTGGTCCTTGTTCTTGTAGAAGGGAAATTTTCGGGAAAAGAGGTTCTTTTTACGCTTGTCATTGAATGACTGCTGAAGAAGAGAAGGAGGGGCAAAACAAAGGGATGTCTACTGTCTGTGTGACCAAGCCCCAGACTAGCAGCTATGGAAGCTGACTCCTGTGACCACACTGTGCAGTCTGTGACCACACTGTGCAGTCTGTGACCACACTGTGCAGTCTACTATAATCACATAATAGATTTCTTATCTGTATAAAATCCTATAATTCTAATACTATGTAAATGGAAATATTTAAAATTTTAGAGCATAATTCAGTTTTATCTCAAATAAATGCTACTTGACAAAAAGGTAAAAAGTTATCAGATTACTACTATATAGCATAAATGAAGGTAATATTTATTTATATGAATAGGTCTTTTTCTAGGAAAATTTTCAGGTACAGTACTACACATGCTATGCCAAGTTATTTTTAACATTACTTTGCTGCTGAATTGTCTCTCATCCATTAAGCGGCAATCTTTATTTCACTTGGCCTACTACACTTCTTCTTTTATGCCTTTTTTGGTGGTTAAAATAAATTAACATAATAGTTGCTATTAATGAAAATCAAAATAATTGAGGAATTTGCTAACTTTAACAACAGTATTTTTTTTGGGAAGAGGAAAAAAGTGCTGATGATATGAATTAAAATAACGGAAAGGGGCTGGAGAGATAGCTCAGAGGTTAATAGCACTTGCTGCTCTTGCAGAGGACTCAGGTTCAATTCCCAACACCCACATGGTGGCTAAAAATGTCTGTAACTCTAGTTCCAGGGGATCTGATACCCTCCTCTGGCCTCTGTGAGCAGTGTATGACATGGGTGCACTCACAAACATGCTGACAAAACACTCATACACATAAAATAAAAATAAATAAAAAAATTTAAACTCAATAAAAATATCAAAAAACCCTGAGAACATAGTATTGGAAAGAACACAAGAGGCCTATATACAGTCCAGCAAAAGATTAATTATGCTATCTTTATTTTTTTCTGGTCTTTTTGAGACAGGGTCTCCCTGTAGCCCCAGCTGGCCTAGAACTCACAGAGATCAGCCTTCTTCTGCCTCCCAAGTGCTGAGACTAAAGGTGTGCGCCACCACACCCGGCTAATTATGCTATCTTAATCAAGAAAGAAGAGTCAAAAGTTTCCTGGCTACTTTGAATATTATTACAATTGAATTACTTGCTTTTTTAAAAAAAATTTTTTTATTTTTATGTGGTCAACTGTTATGCCTGCACAACTGCAAGTGCATCCGTGCTGTGGAGGGCCTGCGGAGGACAGAAGAGGGCATTGGATCCCCTGAAGCTGGAGTTATGGATGGTTGTTAGTAGCCATGTGGGTACTAGGATTTGAACCCACTCAGGTTTTCTGCAAGGACAGCCACTGAATCATCTCTCCAGGCCCAACTTACTTGGTTTTAAAAAATTTATTTCAACTTTATGTATATGAGTATTTGCCTGTATGTATGTAAATGCAATGCCTTCAGAGGCCAGAAGAGGGTGGTGGATCATTGGAACTGGAGTTAGGTTGTTGGCCACCATACTGGGAATTGAACATGGGTCCCTTCCTTGCAAGAGCAATAAATGCTCTTAACTGCTGAGCTCTTTCTTCATTACCACCTTACTTGTTTTTAAGATGTACTGGACTTACGTATTTTAAAAACACACACACACACACACACACACACACACACACACACACGCACACGCACACGCACACACACACGCACACAATTACATCCAATTCATTGGCACCATATCCTGCCTAGAGAATAAACATTTCCCCTTTTCTTCTACCAAGGTAATTAAGAGTCTAACAGTCTCTATATTGCTCTAAGGGGACTAATGGAGCAGCTGATTTGATGTTCCTTATTTTACAGATTCTGGAGATACAGTTTTCTTTGAATGGCATTTATGCATTCATCGGTTTGAGGTCATATAGCGCAAAGAATGACGAGGTTATTAAAGAAGAAAAGCTCCTTCTACAATTTCTGTCGTAGACCTACATGTGTAAGTAGAAATGGCTTTATCTCATAGTAACACTAAAAGATTACTTCAAGTGGGGATAAGAGAGAGTTTTTTGTTTTGTTTTTTTGGATAGTGCTAGGGATTGAACTCAAGAACTTGAATGTGCTTTGCCACAAAATCACACTACTGGCCCCCAAAGATAGAAATATTGATTTGATTTTTCAAGTTATTTGTGTCATAAGATGCTACATCAGATTCTTATCTACAATTTTGCTTTCTGGGGCTTTAGTTGTCTGTGGTCAACCACTGTCTGAAAATATTAAATGGAATATTTCAGAAATAAATAATTCCTAAGGCTCAGATTTCATGTTTTCATGAACAACATGAAGAAATAATATGCTCTCCTGCTACAACCTGCCCAGGATGTGAATTATCATTGTGTTCAGTGTACCTGCTCCATATACAGGCACTATCCACGAGTGGTGTGGTAACCATCTCTGTTATAGGACTGATTGTCATCAATGTGTTTATATTCAAATTCAAGTAAATTTTATTTTACTTAATGGTGCCAAAGTTAAAAAGTAGCAATAATGCATTGTGTATTATCATAATTATTCTGTTATAATTAATCTCTTACTCTAATTTATAAATTACACTTTATCATGAATAAGCACCAATTTAAAAAATCATGTGCATAGATTTCAGTACCATCCATGACTTCAGGCATCCATTACAGTCTTAGAATGCATCTTCCACAGATAAGTGGGGCCATTAATGCATATCATTACTTTGAAGTACACTGATACCAAGTCCTTGTTATTAGCATGTGATGCTAGCAAATTAGGTGTTTAAGTAACTTTTAGCTTCAATTCTATAACTCGAGTACTTATTCTGAAAAGAATCTTTATAAAAATCTAATTAAATGTTCAGTTTATATTTTTTTATCAATTTGGGATTAATAAATTCATAAGCCAAGCAGATTCTTAAGTTTTGAAGGCTTTGAGGAACTGGATGAACGTGAACTCTAAGCCTAAGCTAAAAATGCTGTTGATGGGAAAAAGAAATGTGGAGAAATCCGGTTTGATAACTATTTTATAACCTGTCAAGTAGCATTATTTGAACAGAAGTACTTGCTTGAATCTAAATTTTAGAAAGGAGAAAAATTAGGTTTTAGCAGAGAAAAAAAATTGTAGTTAACCAATTTAAGAAAGTTCCAAATCTTTTTTGCATAAGAATCACTGGTTAGAGTTTAGTAATATTTTTATGGTGTTTGAACTAACCCTCTTACTGCACGTGCACTGGTCAGAGTCAGTTTCCCAGCACACAACCAAAGAAACATGAAGTTAAACATGTTTGGATTCTTGTTATCTTTGCAGTTAGCCAAAATCAGATACCGCAAGGATATGGTACTATAGGACAAGGAAAAATGCTTGTTAGTTAAGAAATGTATTAATTGCACTAATTTAATATTATCCAGGATGAAGAATTCATTAAAAGTGCAAACAACAATGGCACGGCAAAGAAGACAAAACTGTGTGGGGAAAACAGAAAACCGAAGACATGTCACCTTCAGTTTTTCTGCATTTTCAATAAAAATGTTGAATTATTTATTAATGCCATGGTATAAGACAGTGCAATAAACTTAAATGATACAATGCTACAAATTTATGACACATATATGAAGTATATAACTATATATTTTCCACATGTAGTATTTCAAAAATAGCTAAACAAGTGTTAAAAATGTTAACAAGAAACTGAAATGTTATGTTTGTAGTGAATAAAAAAGCCGGCAAATCATCATTTAAGGAAAGGAAAAGGGGAGGCAGGAAATACTACAGAAAGAAATGCAGTTCTGTATCAATGGCAAGCGTATTTTGACCCCACTCAATATCATGCACATTTCTGGTGCTGTGTTAGAACACAGTGATCATGTACAAAGTTGGTTACAGTCAACATACAAGACTAAGATTTAAATGTCGTTAATTAAGTTAACTTCTACAGAATGAAAGAAAAGTTAAAACATGCAACCTCTTTGTAAATTCATTGACAGTTTACTGTATTGAATCATTTTTAAAGACACATA